TCTGATGGCTATTTCCAGCAGGTTAACGCTCCATGTCATAAAGCATGAATCATCTCAGACTGGTTTCTTGAACATGACAATGAGTTCACTGTACTCAAATGGCCTCCACAGTCACCAGATCTCAATCCAATAGAGCATCTGTGGGATGTGCTGGAACGGGAGATTCAAATCATGGATGTGCAGCCGACAAATCTGCAGCAACTGTGTGAAGCTATCATGTCGATATGGACCAAAATCTCTGAGGAATGTTTCGAGTACCTTGTTGAATCTATGCCATGAAGGATTAAGGCGGTTCTGGAAGCAAAAGGGGATCCTACTCGGTAGTAGCAGATGTACCAAATAAAGTGGTTGGTGAGTGTATGTCCAAATTACTGATCATTAAAAAAAGGTCCAGTAGTTCATGAGACGCTTGTTCTTTTTGCTCACTGACTTCGATCTTGGAGAAGATGAACGTAGCTTTTTTTTTACATTGCAAAAATGTCCATCTAGCCAAGTTTTAAAATATTATATCCAGCCCCAAAATTTTTTGATCTTGTTGAAAAGAATGTGTAAGATTATTTATCTTCTTAGATATTTGATTAAAATTAAGTGGAAAAAAAGATCTGCCAATGGAGTAAGAAAATTTTATTTGGTAAAATTCTTGAAATCATTTAATTTGACTCAAACTTTTCTTACTTTAAGAATCTTATCAAGTGAAATTGTCTTACTCCATTGGCAGATTTTCTTTCCACTTCATTTGTGTCAATTTTCCAGGCTAACGAGATAATCTTATGTGTTCTGTTAACAAGATGATCAATCTTACACATTCTGCTCAAAACAAGATCGAAACAATTTTTTTTGTCTTTAAAACTTTGTTAGATGGGCACTTTTTGCAGTGTAAAATGTCAATCTGCTTGTTTAGGGATTTTTGGGTGGGGTAATTTTTCTGCTAAAAGTAAGCAACACTGATCAAACACAAGTGAAAAATGTAAATGGACTGAATTAATAGTGCAGCAGAACCCCAGCAGGTAAACAAGTTTAAATCAGCACCAGAATTAATCCTGATGAAGTCAACACTTTGATGTGTGTTCACAATACAAGAACACACTCCAGATTTGAGCAGAGCTTCGTCTTAGCTCAATATATCATATAAAAAAATGTTCAGCGTGTGTTTACCTTCATTAAATTTTGTGCAAATAACACTAGTCTGCCCCGGAGTAGCTTCGTAGAGCTCTGCACACATCCTCTTCCTCCTCCTCCTACAAATGACTTCCTACCACCAGAGAGCCTTAAATAGTCAGCCCCCAAACTTTGTTAAAAATAAAGTACTCTGTAACATATTATATGTGGGACAACAGCAGATTTGTTTACAGCAAATAAAGCCCCAAACCATTTTAAAGTAAAACCATTAAAGTTTTTCAAGCATGAAAGGCCAGTGACTAAAGTCTGACTGTTTTACCTTTGCTGAATAATATATTACAGCTAAATATGTAAATCATTTATAATGGCTTTGGGTCAGAACAGAGGAGTGCAGAAGCAGTAATATCTTATTTATAGGTGTACCTGAGGACTTCTTTATTGTTTTTATGTTCATTTTGCCTTTCAAATGAAGATGATCAATTTCTGTGTCAGTGTAATAAAACCATCTGTTTATTCACATCCAAACTATATTAAAAACTTTTATTGTCGTCTTCTAAACAATATTTACAATAACCAGATTATGCACTTTCTCCAGGAATCTTTGAAATGTACATCGGTATATTTGCTCTCTTAAATGTGGCTGTATCAAAAATGTTCTGTTTTATTAGTTAAAAAAACAAACTTTTGATGTCTTGATCTTATGTTCTGTGATAAACTACTTTTCAGCTCTGTAAAATAAATTGGATGGATGGATGGATGGATGGATGGATGGATGGATGGATGGATGGGTGGATGGGTGGATGGATGGATGGATGCGTGGATGGGTGGATGGATGGATGGATGGATGGATGGATGGATGGGTGGATGGATGAATGGATGCATGGATGGGTGGATGGATGGATGAAGAGATGAATGGATGGTTGAAGAGATGAATGATGAATGGGTGGGTAGATGGATGGATGGATGGATAGTTGTAAGGAAGGATGGATGGATGAACAGATGAATGGATGAATAGGTGAGTAGATTGATGGATGGATGGATGAACAGATGAATGGGTGGGTAGGTGGATGGATGGATGAATAGTTGTAAGGAAGGATGGATGGATGAACAGATGAATGGGTGGGTAGGTGGATGGATGGATGGATTGATGAATGAATGGATAGATGGATGGATGGATGAATGGATGTTTGGGTGAGTAGATGGATGGATGGATGGATGAATGGTTGGTCAGATGAATGGATGGATGGATGGATGAACGAATGAATGGATGGATGGATGGATGGATGGATGGATGGATGAACGGATGAATGGGTGGGTAGATGGACTGATGGATGGAAAAAAGATTTAATAGCCAGTTTTATTTATGTTCCTTTGGTTTTCACTGTGTTCTATGGGGTCTTTAAACAAACTGAGAACAAGTTTCTGCCTAAAATAACAAATTAACTGATTCTAAATAATCATAATTTGATCCACAAATTGCAAACCGCGACCTTCTCAATTCTTCATTTGTTGACTTTTTAATCCAATGTTTTGTGAATAAATCTCTAATTTGCAGCTTCTGATTCGTGCCACATATCAGTTCTGTAAAACACTCACCCATTTAAATAAAAACTGAGCAAATGATCTCACTCTGTGAGGATAAAAACACTCGTCATAATTAGATCAATCAAACCTAAAAAAAATAAACAATCATTTTATTTAAAGAACATTTACAAGTAGCAAGCTTACTTTGCTACTTTGTTGATAACAGGTGCAAAGTTGGTCGGTCCGTAGAGCTGCACCGTCCTCAGACTCTGGAAATAAGCCTCCAGAACTCCGTCTATTCCCACACAGTTTGGATGATCACCATCGCCATTCTGCAACAGCAAACAGATGGTGCTTTCATGGAACACACAATACGAAGAAATAAAACTGCAATAAAATATAAATAAATCAAAGCAGCTGACATTTTGGGTACAACAAAATGTTACTTCCATTTATTTCTAAGTCATGATGTCTAATTCATCTACATTTGGGTTGCTATTATCCTATAGACTGTGTCTGAGCAAATATGGTCTATGTTAAACAGCAGATGGTAAGGACTTTAAAATATACAGTAAATCATTTTCAGTCAGAACAGACACACATAAACCAGAGTGGTACTAAAACATGTACAACTGTTAAACTTTACCCTCAGGAGTTTTTAACGAACTGATTTAAAGTTATTTTAGAAGTACATCATACTGAGGTTTGTAATAATGACGAGATGGTGAACAAAGTAATACAATATAATGGCAATGTTTAATTATACATTAATGAACTTAGTCAAATATCTTGTAAACCGCTGATGAACTTTGAGAATGTGTCCAAATTCAGAGGCTGGGGCCCCTGAAGCCCGAATTTGTCGTCGGCTCACAGCGCCGCACCAGAGGCTGTCCTAATCCAAAGACTCCTCCAATGCGAGCGACAAATGTGTCTTTCTTTATCCCCGATTTGAGGGACGGGTCCAATGGTTCCTTCCCGGCCCGCCCTATCCCATGATGCATTGCAGGCCGACCGGAGCTTTTATTTCCTGCTCTTGATGGCAGATGAAGCGATAGAAAGGAGTACAGTTTTAAATAAAAATCTGGCCGTATAAAAATTAAAGTTTTCAAGCAGCTGTGTTGTTAATGCTTTTGTCATTTGTATTAATGCTTTTAAATATTATTCTTGTCAGAAACCAAATGAACTTGTATAGAGAAATAAACGTGCACCTACGTTAGTTAGTTCTTCCAATATTGTTTTTAAGCTTAATTGGTTTTATGATATTTATAACATTAATATATTGATTTTTTTTGCTCATTTCAATCTATTTTTGCATCAGTTTAGCGTCATTCCATTGATAGGCGACCCACCTAGACCAGGTGGACCGGTTCTTTCGAAGGACCCAGCCCCTGAATTTGGACACAGCCTAAGAGACAACCCAATTCAAGATGGCTGCCACAGCTAATTGCCGGGTTCCCACACCTTGGTCAACATCAAATTCAAGGACCTTTCAAGGACTTCCCAGTACCAATTTCCTCAAATTCAAGAACCACATGCAACGGCAATTACCTACTGCAGAATGTTACCAATAAACAGGTTTAATATGTCAATTCAATGAAAAACTGAACAACATAGAAGTTATTGAGTCAGAATCAGTGAAAGAAAGTGGATGAAATGTTTACCCTACATTCATATCCACAATACATGGACATGTAATTATGTCCTGGGAGGTTGGGCAGCTCAGTTTGGGAGGAGGGGATGTGAACAGGTCCAGATGTTCGGTGAGGACAGGAGGAGCTGTGGTGCTCTCACCTGGGCTCAGAAAGAACGACCCGCCCTACTCTGCTCTGATTGGCTAAAACCATCACTATGGCTCACGTTATTTGTTGAAAGCCACGTCAGTTTATTGTAATCCAGAGTTATCCACCGCAACAAATGTAAGGTTTTTAAGGTAAGATAAGATAAGATAAGATAAGATAAGATAAGATAAGATAAGATAAGATAAGATAAGATAAGATACAACTTTTTTGACCCTACAGTGGGAAATATGCACATTACAGCAGCTCAAAACAGAACAGGGTGACTTAGATTAAATAAAGATAAGTAAAAGAAAAAAAACACTATACTCGTGATATATAACAAGGTACATATACCTAGTACAGTACATAAATGAATATATATGCAGGTGCATATTACTGATGCCAGTGTAGGTGAATTGTCCAAGTGACTGATAACATCCTGATGTGTTATAAAGTCTAACTGCAGTTGGAGTGAATGACCTACTCAGTCCTGCAGTGAGGATGTTTAAGTCTCTGACTGAAGGAGCTGCTCAGCAACACCCCCCCACACACACACACACACACACGGTTTCAAGAGGGTGGTGAGGGTTGTCCATGATGGCTGTCAGCTTTGCCAACATCCTCCTCTCACCCACTACTACCACAGGCTCCAGAGGACATCCCAGCACAGGGCTTGACCGCCGTATCAATTTTATTATTGTTATTATTATTATTATTATTGTTATTATTATTATTATTATTATTATTATTATTATTTTACAAATGATGAAAATCAGTCATGTGAATCGAGAACTTCGGTCCCAAAAAACATTCACAAATTTTCAAGGACAAGTGTAATTTTTGGCTGTTTTCACAAACTTTCCAGGGTCTTGAAATCATTTTTTCAAATTCACAAACTTTCAAGGATTTTAAGGACCCGTGGGAACCCAGTAATTGGCATCTGCTAAAAGAAAAATGGCCCAATCAGTTTGACAGATAGTCTTTCTCAATGCATGTTTTGAGCAAGTAAGTTCTCATCATTTCACATGGAATTCAGCATTTTTTTAAGTAACTAATCTCATCCTATCAGAGTCGCCATCCTTTAAGAAAAACTGATATATCAACTCAAAGTCCTTCAGATTCTTTTAGGATTAGCATCCAGCAGTTTGTGAAGGGCTCAGGAGGAAATGAGGAGATAGCTCCTGCTGGTTGGTGGATGAGCTGACGTCTCCGCTCGTGCGACCAGCTGTCGTTCTCGCCACATCTCCTGGTCCAGACCAACTGCGCAGACGTGGCCCCGCGAGCGTGAATGAATAATATTTGTGAGCGCGAGGATGTCTTACCAGGGGAAACGCGTGGGAGATTTTGCCGTCGGGGGGCAGCTTAGCTCCGAAGCCGTAGGCAGGAAAGAGCTTGTCGCTGTCGTAGTCCTGGATTATCTCTCCCACTGCTTTCAGGGCCATGGCATAAGCATTCATCTGGTAGGGGCTCATGTAGTGGAGAGAGGTGGGCTGGGATGGGTTACCTTACAAAACACACAGAAGAAAACAAAACCAGGTGAACAAAATGAGATCTCAATGGACAGCTAAGCGACCTTAGCCTACACAGAAATGGCTATACTTTAGCTACTTTAGCTCAGATAATGTGCTATAATTTGGTGTGGTAGCAGCTGGTAGTTATTTACAACATATATTCCACGTGTCAAACTCAAGGCCCGTGGGCCAAATGTGGCCTGCAGGTGACTCCCCTCAGGCCCGCCAATGTCACCCACCTCCCAAAAAAGTATTTTTTTAACTTAATGTCATAATATTTTCTATTTCAGTGACTAATTATACATTTATGAAATGCAACAAACTAAACAAGTATAAAAGGTGACATATCATACTTATAGGCATGGGCCGAGTACCGGTTTCAAGGTATACCTTTCTGGGTGTCCCAGAAGTAGCGTGCAGCATTTGCATTCTTAACAGAGACTGGTTATGAGATAAATTATGTGAAGACAGGCTGTTTTTGTAAAACTGATAGCTGCAGGAAGAAAACAGCTTATCTCTTTGAAAAAAATCTAAGAATTTAAGGGAATTTAAAGAAGAAACATCACTTTATTAATGAGTTTTGCTGAAGCATATGCCAGGATTATAATTATAGAACACATTTTATTATTACACGCCAATGCAAATGAATGCCAGCTCCCTCCTACTGCTCTCTTGGATAAGATGATCTGAAGTCTCTCCTCTGTGCTAAAAGGAGTGACCTGCTTTTAAAGGAGATGAAAAGATTGGATTGATCTGATAAGCTGCAGCAGATTCCACACTCAAACACACATACTGTAATGTGTTCCCCCCCCCTAATCCAATTGAGCTTCCCACTACGCCACAGGTGCACATTGCACCTCTGGACACGATAAATACCAAAACGCCTTCCCCATATCCGCTGCACCGCGTGTGTTTCATCAGAGCCAGAATGTCGCGACACGTTCAAGGCGGCGGTGTGCTGAACAGCACTAAGGAGCGTCTTAAATGTGAACGAAAGCATCACGTTGTTGCTCAAACAAAAGGAAGAGTCATCTTTCACAATGAACGGATGTATTTAAAAAAAATTTAAATCTTCTTTCCGTCTGTAATTAAGGCCAGTTTCGGAGAAATCCGAAGTTTTAAAAAGAGATGTAACACATGGTAATAAAGAAGTATATGAAGCATCACGCTTCAAAAAAACTAATTAGTCCCCGTGCTACAGCCAATTATTTTACAAGCAGAGCCAAGTCTTTTATGTGCAACTAACTCCAGTGAATTTCTTCTCAACAGAATTGTCATTTGTTTGCTATAGGTCACCAGAAGCCCTCACTATTAGTTTCATTTAAAGCTTAGAATTTCTTACAGAAATGCAACCGTTTTAAATTAATCTTGTGCTAAGGAATTATGGAGTTTTAGTTCGATTTTATAAGTAATTGTGTATAATTTCAAGTGATCAGGGAGCGCTCAGTGAATTATCTGGTGGATTAACTATCTTGTCAGCACGACGTTCGCTTGCTCAAAGTAAATAAAATACCACCACTTTCTTTATTTCATCCACCATTAAGCAGAGACCGGCAGAGGAAAACAACAGAGGTGCTTCCCGACAGTCCGAACACATCCGACCCGAAGGAGCACAAGCAGCCAGCTTGAAGTGTTGGACGCGTTTTGGATGCTCAAAATGTAGCTTGAATACCGTTTATTTATTTTAACTCCATCCTCTTTTGCTTATTTGATTTAAACTTATTTGCCTTCCATGGACCTCCAGCACATTTTTTCTAGCGGGGAAATGACATCAATAGAAATACATGGAGCTGGATCTTAAAGGCACAGTGTGTAGGATTTGTTGTTTTCAGTGACATCTAGTGGTTGAATCATCCTCCCTGGTCCTCCCCCCCCCCCCCTCCAAACACAAAGGAGTTGCTACGGTGTCTCTCAGGTGTCAAAAACCTTTGATAATTCCAACCGCGATGTCTACCAGCAGCTTCAGGGCTAGTGATGTTTCAAGTGGTAAGATTATGAGCTTTAATAAGTAAAATTATCCCAGCTACAATGACAGACAACAAATATTACATTTATAGTATTACACCTAAAACCGTTTTTGACGCCGCCGCCGCAGTTTGTCCTTCATGAGCCTTCGTAGACAAGATGGCGGCTGCCTGTAGTGGCGACCCGCGACTATGGAGATATAAACAGCTTTTTATAAGGTAAAAATAATAAAACAAGGTCTTTGCAATGATTAGACATGTTTTTTATGAGTCATTAGTGATTATCTCAATTTYGGCTAAAAGACTTGACAAAATCCTACACACTGTGCATTTAATTTGTGCAATAAGACAAAACACTACGTTAGCTATTTTCAAGAGTTTGCACTTTAAAGAAAAAAGTTACACAACTGATGTTACAACACAAACAGTTGGATGTCTTGATATCTGTTAATTTTATATATTGAGAAAAATGTTTAAAAAATAAAAGTTTACTGTTAAAAAAAACAACACACACTAAGTACCAAAAATTGGCACCATTAAGTACCGGTACCGAGTCCCAGATACCGGATATTGGTACCGAATTGATTCAAATGTCAAAGGTACCCATTTCTAACTGAGACACTGTCTATGAGAAAATCAGTTGTTGATGTACATTCAGTGATTACTTTATAGTTTCATTAAAATCATTGAGTCATGAGATAGGTGTAAGTAAAGAAAGGCAAAACTAAAGACAATATCACAAGTCATAATATTTGATCAAATATATCTAAAAATAAAGCAGAAGTTGACTCACCATTTGATGCCGTGAAGTCGATAGCCACTGTGAAATTCAGTTGAGTTCTGTTGCAAATAAAGTGAGAACAAAGTGAATTTCACACTTCAGTATTCCTGACGTGGACTGTCATGTGTCCAACAGACACACCAGCACGAGCCGAGGGCCAATCAGCTTTCTGGGTGACTGGTTGGAAGCTAAATAGCATGGTGTAACAACTCTCCTCTCCACCTTGAATGTTTAATTAGGTCAAACAAATAAAAGCCAGCCATTCAAAGTGAAGGACCTGAATAAAATTAGTATTTACAAGTTATATTTACCAACACAACATTCACCCACACTTCAACCACTCACAGCAAGATTGATATCATGCATTTGGGAAATTTCTTCAAGTGTCCTCAGACTGAGACACTTGCAGAGATGTTTGACACTTAACTACGAGTGTGGGCTAGTTATTATTCCACTCACCCTCCTCGGATGAAATCCACAAAGGTATACTCCGACTCCACTTTGAAGGACAGCAGAGTTACCTGGCAAACACAAACACACACATCGACACACATGTTGTGATGAACAGAGGAGGACAACGGAATAGAGACCAAAAACAAAAGGAAGGCAAAGACCAAACAAGCAGCCAGGCAGCTAAGAGTCAATGAAAGGAAACAAGATGTACACGGTGATAATTATCTTACTTTAAAAGCAGATGAAATAATAACATTCCAGACTGACTCAGGAGCACTTACAGTTCCAGAATTGATGTATTTCTTCTTTTTGCCTTTCTTCTTGGGATTTAAAACCTGCGGGCGAAGAAGAAGAAGAAAAAATAACTACTTGTAAAAACATAAACTTTCAAATGATACTTTAAACACTGCATGAATGATTTAACAGATTTCAAATAACAGAGACATACAATACAAAGCAACTATAATTTTTCCTTTGGCGAGTTTTGTCTTGCACTCAAAGCACTGTGACAGTTAGTGACAAAAAAGAAAGTAAAAGTCTAACATTCTTTGAAGAAATGCATTTTGCCTGAAGACTTTCACATCACAGTTTTAAGTTAAGATCATATGGTGGTATGCTGAGTTGTAACAATTTGGGCAAACCTTAAAAATGGGAAAGACCAAAGGTAAAGACGACTGCGTTTTAGGCCTTTTTCCGTTTTTTTAGGTTCAGAAACCTTAACATCTGCATTTGCTGTTCAGTAAAATATGCACCGGACAGTACCGGTTATCACAAAACATCGCAACACTACACACAGTAAAGACACGTTGCACACAAACCATACTGCACAGCCCCTTATATATAATAAACACTGCCTGTAACATATATCGCCCACACATACACTCCCATCATATCCTGTACAGTTCTATTGCCTGGAATGACACTGTTTAAAAGTCTGATGGAGGAGGACAGAAATGAGTTTTTAAAGCGGTTTAGTTTGCAGCGAGGGACTCTAACCATCTGCCGGAGGGCAAACGCTCATATTCTTCGTGTGGAGGATGTGTGATGGATCGGTCGTTATTATTTGAGCTCGCCTAAGAACTTCCAGCTCCTGTATCGACCGAAGGGGCTGGAATTCAGTTCCTCCTATCACCATCACAGCGGTGCTAATCAGACGAGCTTAGTTTTAGTTGCACAGTGGAGTTTTTAATACCATCCTGACAAACTGAATCAGATTAAAATCTAGAATAGTTTCAAACTTTTAACATTTAAACCCACTGAGGACAGACACAACGGCCTGTGAAACCCTTGCATTGTTAGGTTAAAAACACAAAGTTTACTAAAACAAACACTTAAACAAGAGGCATAAAGAAAACAAAAACAACTTTTAATGTCAAATTATTCATTCAGAGAAATTTGTCAAATAATTTAAGATGTGGAATAATTTCTGTAGATTGACTCCAATCCATTCATCCATCCATCCATCCGTCCATCCATTCATCCATCCATCCATCCATCCGTCCATCCATCCATTCATCCATCCGTCCATCCATCCATTTGTAAATTCATCAATCCATCCATTCGTCCTTCCTTCCATCCATCCATCCATCCATCCATCCATCCATCCATCCATCCATTTGTAAATTCATCCATCCATTCATTCGTCCTTCCTTCCATCCATCCATCCATCCATCCATCCATCCATCCATCCATCCATTTGTAAATTCATCCATCCATTCATTCGTCCTTCCTTCCATCCATCCATCCATCCATCCATCCATCCATC